ACAATTAGGGGCAAGAGAATTGGAAATTGAAAGAGATTCCCTTTTGGTCATAACATGGCAAAGCAAATTGAGTCAGCACCCTAGAAGCTCAGCTTCATTTTCAGACAAACTGACCAACTTGCAAAGGAATATAATTCTAATTTTGGATGGGTTAAAAGGGAAGCAGATGGGCTGGTGGATGTGTTAGCTAAGCAGGGAGCTGATAGACCATCCTTATTTTGGCCATTGCAGTAACCTATTGTATCATGGGTTCCATATATATGCCCTGTAACAAATATTTAAATTAAAAAATGAATTTTCTTTGCTGATAAATTAAAAAAACAATGGGTTGGGGTTGGTTCCAAGAATTTGGAACCAGACCCTATCCGCTAGAAGATTGTGTAGGATTGGTTCAAGTCCAGTTCGAGTTTGGTTCCATTCGGTTCCAGGTAAAACCTACCCATTTACTCACCCTTAGTGATAAGGGCATATAGCCTAGGTTGATAAAAGTACAAAAGAGGACGTAACCCACCTTGCTTCATTCTTGATACTCAATCCTGTCCCTAACAAAATTAATCCAATTATAAGCACAATACAAAACGAAGGTAAAGATATAAGTTAACAATATGCTATTAAACTTTAACTTTTATGACCTGCAGCAAAATCAAGGCAAGTATCTAGTTTATAATAGTACAGATATAATATTTTATATTATATGTCATGTAATATGTGTATAAAATTTATTTTATACATTATATAATATAGAATTTTATGTATAATATTTATTATAAATGACATATTATATTATTTATATATAAAATATAAAATATAGCATAAAATAATATGTATGTATGTATAAATAACATATGTACAAATGTGTGGGCCAGGCTAGGCTGAACCTGAGCACCTCTACCATGCATATTCTCTTGATATTTCTTTTTTTTTTTTTTTTGGTCTTCAAATAGTCTTCTATTCCTTTACATCCATAAACCCCAACAAATTATAAAGGGATACAGCTCCAAAAAATTTTAGCCTTCTTGCCTCCATGTACCTTGACCGCAAAGAGAAGATTTCATCTGGATTATGAGGATGAGAAACTAACAAGGAGGATAAAAACCTCTAAAGAAAATATGCCACCTTGCATGTGATTACTAAGTGCTTCATATCTTCCTTGTCATTTCACATAAAATATATGCTAGCCATTTCAAAGCATCTATTTCTCAAATGATCAGCCATGAATGTATTATCCAATGCCACCAACCATGTAAAAGATTTATTCCCCCAGATTCTTCTTTTTTTTTTATCAATAACTGTGAAATGTATTAATTAATATTAAGAAGAATTAAAAAGCAAGGGGGCTAAACAATATTAGCTCCCTAGAACAATCAATGAGCACCAAATACAATTACAATAAAGCCCAAAATAAAGAGTTTCTGTTAACCCCTTGCCTAGCTAAACCATCTGCCAGTGAGTTTGCACTTCTCTTTACCCATTTGTATTGAATTTCAACATCCTTAGTCAGCCACTTAAATTTTCTTTTTTCATTGTTGTACTTCCATATCCTTGAGTTATCCTCTTTTAACCAGTTCACCACAACTTCAGAGTCTCCTTCAATGATCAGCTTACTAATTTACAACTCCTTGGCTCTTCGTACCCCTTTGGTCCTGAAAACATAGCTAACAGATTCCCATGTTCATCTCTTATTCTCCCCCTATTCCAGATGGTCCTGGATTACCCATACTGCTGCCATCAAAATTCAGTTTAATAAAGCCGTTAGGTGGAGGACTCCAACAAGAATTTGATGCCTTCTTAGTTGAAGCTAATTCTGCAATTTCCTTCCAGTTTTTTACCATCTCATCTACTGAGAAATCTGCAAACAATGCCAAAGTTTTTAGCCAATGTATCACCCTAATATGGATTACCTCCAAAATTACTTCCAAGCTTCTCTCCTTTTCTGAGAAGATCCATGAGTTCCTCTCCTCCCAAACAGTCCAACATACTGCAGCCCTCATACATCTTCAAAGGGGGGRGGGGGGGGGGGGGTCCACCTGCACCCAAACAAAGAAGTACACCACTCCCAAATGCCTTTAGTAAACTGACAGGAAATCAGTAAATGGTATTCAGACTCACCATCAGTTTTACAGAAAGCACACCAGTGAGGACACAAACAACTGTTGGGTCTTTTTCTTTGAAGTAAATCACTTGTATTAACTCTTTCTAGAAAGGCTTCCCAACAAAAACTTCCAACCTTGGGGGGTATAGGAAGACACCACACCTCTTTAACAGGGAATGACAGATCCAAAGAAGGAGGTTGTGTTAGAGCTTTAAAGAAAGAAGCACATGTGAAAGAACCAAAGGGGGTAAGAGACCAAATTCTACTGTCTGCCTTTGTTGGCTCTAAAAAGACCCCTTCAAGAATGGATAACAAGGATAAGATACAATCAAACTTTGTGTACCTAATTTCCCTTCTAAAGCCCAAGTTCCAGCTGAACCCAGAAGTTAAGTTAGAAGGAACAAGGAAGGAGGAAACTGGTTCATTTTTAAAAGTGGAAAGAGTGAAAAGACTCGGGAATTGGTCTTTTAAAGGAGAATCCCCAATCCAGATATGTTCCAAAAAATTGATGAGATTACCTGAGTGCAAGTCATACTTGATTCATGGAGAGAACAATGGAAAAATAGCTTGAATCCCAGAATCCCATCCATTGTCTGCTACCCCATGAATACTGCCCACTATCTTCACCCACGGCTTATCCTTCTCCAAAGAAAATCTCCACAGCCATTTCTCTAGTAGTGCCAAATTCCTACTCCTTATATTCCCAATACCCAAACCTCCCTCCCTCTTGCTCCTACAGACCATCTCCCACCTAACCCTATGGTCCTTCTCTTCCCTCGGCTCCCAAAGGAAATCTCTCATTTGTTTTTCTAACCTGTTATCCACCTTAGTTGGAATCTTAAAGACTGATAAAAAGTAGACAAGAAGGTTAGCTAATGTAGACCTAATTAAAGTAATTCTCCCACCAAGAGACAAATAATTCTTCTTCCAAGTTGCAAGTCTCTTTTCAAACCTCTCCACAACCGGAACCCAAAACTCATCTTTCTAAGGGTTGTCTCCCAATGGAAAAACGAGGTAATTTAAAGGCCAATTAGAAACTGCGCACTCCAGAATGTCTGCACACTTCGATGTCTCCCCCACCCCCATATTGACCCCCACTAGACAGCTCTTCTCAAAGTTCTCCTTAAGGTTTCACATTTGGTCAAAGAGTTGTATAGTGAGCTTCAGGTTTCTTATCCTATTAAGGTCCCCTCCTTCACAAAAGAGTATTGTGTCATCTGCAAATTGCAAATGTGTGAGTGGCACACTTTCCCTTCCAACTCTCCATCCTCTTATTAGTCTGCTCTAGAAATTAATCTCCCCAAAACTTCTGCAACCATCATGAATAAGAAAGGGGAAAGAGGATCTCCTTGTCTTATTCTTCTCAAAGCTGGAAAGAAATCTACCACTGTCCCATTTATCAATATGGAATAATGGCATTTCCTGATACATCCCATCACCCACTTACACCACCTGTCTCCGAACCCAAAATTGACCATCACCTCCAACAGGAAAGACCAATCCACCATGTCGTAAGCCTTTTCCAAATCCAATTTGCATACCACCCCTTTTTTCTTAGATCTCTTGAACTCCTCCAAATTCTCATTTGCTATAAGTATTTGATTTGTTATTTGCCTCCCTTTCACAAAAGCTCCTTGGTTGTCTGCTATAATTGCTAGGAGCACTTTTCTAATTCTAATGGATAGCACCTTAGTGATGATCTTATAGAGGCTATTGACTAGGCTGATCGGCCTATAGTCCCTCAGGTGATTTGCATTCCTTTTCTTGGGAACCAAGGCAATGAATGCGGAATTTAGCCCCGGGTATATCACTCCTCTAGAATAAAATTCATCAAAAACTAGCCTTAGGTTCTCTTTTAATATCTCCCAACAATCTTGATAAAAAGTCATTGTAAAATCATCAGGGCCTAGTGCCTTTGATCTGTCCATAGAAAACATTGCTTCCTTTATTTCTTTCAATTCAAATTTCCTTTCCAGCCATTCCCTATCCTCCAGTTTTAGTGTAGGCCATTCCAATCCTTCAAGCCATACCCTATCGTTTAGGGGTCTTCCTTTAATGTTAGAGACCACCTGATTTCTGATAATTATATTGTAATAATATTTTACTGAAACATTGGTTGCTGCATTCTTTCTACCATCTTATATCACTTTCTGTAGGGCTAATCAGCATTTCCACTTTTTCAAACCTCTTGTTAGAATGCTCGAGTCAGGGGTATTTTGGTCATTCTGGATTATCTGCTTGAGAGGGAAAGGTCTATTGTATCTGAGTTTAAGTTATGTGTCCCATCTTCTATGAGGGACAAAATGGTCTTTCCTGTAACTCTATGTTTTTGAATAAATACAAGTGGGTCAGCTAGGGGAGAGAGATTTCGACTCTCTTCTAGTCTGGCCGAACCTTTCTTTCTTCTTCTTCTTCTTCCTCTTCTTCCTCTTTTTCTTTCTCTTTTCTTTCTTCTTCTCTACTTCAACCTAGAATCTGCTAGGGTTTACTAACACCCCTAAAAATCTCATATTGCACATAAAAACCGCAATAAGCTCATGTTTCCTTTTGATTGTATACCATTTCCATCTTTATTAAGGCCAAGGAGGAGGGAAACTATAACCCATAAACTTGAGAGTTTGTTCCTGTTTCACCATACCCTGGAGGAGTTTTAAGTTTAAAAGAAAATTCTAAATGATGTGATAATTGCTTATACCCTGAAAGTATGATATCAAATTGGATCATATACTTTACATCCTGAACAAGTATGCGAATTTATATTTTCTAAATAATAGAGAGTGCACCAAATAGCTTGCACCCGATTATATGTTGTCCATTAATCGTTATAAGGTAACATTTTGTGGATTAGCTTCTTGCTCATGCTTTGTTGTTTATGCCTCACAACTCTTCTTGTGTATCTGTCTTGTAGATGAAGGCAGGCATTGTTGTTTGACAACACTATTGTTGAACACAAAGGTAAAATTTTGAAATCCAAATTCTTTTTTCATGAAACAGATGCATGCCTTTTCATTCCCGTGATTGACAATATTTGGATTTCTGCAGGCTAGAGAGGGAGGGTGTGTTTGGGTGCATCTTCATCAGACTTGGTTGGCTGGATCAGGACCAAAAGATCAAACGACCTGGCTTTTCTAGATGGACATGAAAAATGATGCCAGAGTATTTTCCATCTGTTGGAATAAACCATCCTCATTCTTCCCCCTTCTAGGCTCTCTAGTTAGCCGTCTGGCTTCAAGTATATTGTATCGGCCTAAAACTCTTGTCAGAGAAAATACCGATGTGATTAATGACTAATAATTTTGGTTACATTTGGATAAAGGTTCAGGATATGTGCTTTTAAAGCTCCAAAGCACAAGGCCCCAATTTCGTGCTTTAGGGCTTAAAAGCGTTGACTTCAGATCATAATGTTTTTAAAAGCAGTTCTTAACAAACGCTTAAAACACTTTTTTTGGCTCAAATTTATTTTCACAGCCCAAAGTTCAAAAGCAAAAGCTCATCCAAACTAAGCTTTCCTTTCATCTTCTTAAATCTTAACTAGGTAGTTCATGCAAGAAGTTTTAGACCTTGACTGTTTAACACCCCTAAAATCTAAAATTCTTTGGGGTTTTTATAGTTCAGTCCACCCCTAGGGTGGAACTAGGATTTCTAGGGGTGGACTGAATCCTGCCCGTGGATTGATGCTAAATTCATGAATAGGATGCGGTTTA